TGTACGTTGTAGATGTAAAAATCTGGCGAGAAATAACGGGAGACGCAGGTGCATGCACATTTCAGGCAGACTTAAATATTGTAATTAGCTTATCTAAATAGTGAATGATGCCTATCAACGCGGCAAAGTGTGTCTACATGCACTTTGGGGATACAAAGGTAAATAAGTACAGCATAGGGGAAGTGTCTGTACCTGTAGACTGGTCTCACAAGGGTCTTGGGGTGACAGTGAGTCATGATCTTGAAACCACAACCCATTGCCCGGGAGGTTGCAGCTAAGGGGTTTATAACCTTATGGGCTTCAAGACCGACATTCACCAAGTTAAATACTACCATGTTCACTACAGTATACACAACCTTAGTAAGAACTAAGCTAGAGAACTGCGTTCAGGCTACAAGCCCCTGTTTAAAAAGTGACTCGAATATCCCGGAACAAGTACAAAGGGCAGCTACCCGTGCAATTTCAGAACTCCGTGGTTTACCACACAAAGAACGGTTTGAAAAGCTAGACCTCTCTACTCTGTCCTATCGCAGATTAAGATGTGATCTGATTTTGATGTATAGAATACTAAGAAATGATTTTGGACCTAATATATCTTCTTTTCCCACTGAGAATTCCGTATTGTACTGGACATATTCACTAATGCCACTATTATTACTATTTTTATTATAGTTATTTATGACTGCCGTTATTTAGCTCCCACACTTAACATATATAAACTTAGGATACTGCCTATTTTTATTGGTAAAATAAATATCTTTTATTTATAACTGTTATTTATTCAAAGTTTACTGATTTTTCAGTCTTATTCAACAATGAACTCAGAATGAACTTTAGTGCTCTATTTGCAAATATAAAAAATTCAGAATGTCCATTGTCTCTTCTGAAGAGCTATGTAAATGATGGCGTTGTCCTAAAGGACTTCAACAAATGCGAGGAAATTGGTTCACTCGTTTGCTTTCTCGTGTCTAAAACATATGGGCTTGGCCTCAAGATACTCCTTGACTGTGGTTTGGATATGTCTGCTAGTGTAAGTTTGCGGTTAGTTTTTTATTGCTACCATAGTATTAAAACCGAAAAATCCAAATGAATTAACAATTTAATACTATATGTTGTTAGCTGCTTATCCAAAGAGTACATCTGACCTTCACTAACAAAATACAAGTTGCGGCTTAATCTGTAAACCACGGCTTAAGTAGATATAGTCTTTTGCTCTTAAATGTTTCTAGTAAAATCAAATATTATCAACATACGAAATGTCACCACAAAGGTTCTAAACATGTAGGTTTTTATCATTTGTAAGGTCTGAATTATCCCGTTATCGATAATGAAGACTGCATTTCGATCAGTCTTTGTTGACACATGTGAATCTTGTTGGGTTCGCCCCAATGTAACCAAATTAGCACAAGTTTTATGTAAAATAAATTAAATGTCCTTAGCAACCTAATCCACGTTTCATTCTAGTATTTTTTAAAATAAAAGAACCACATTTGGTATTCATTTGCGCATTTTGTTCACTTTGTTTATTTAATTCAGCATCACATTACTGGAGACACACCACTGATCATCCTTTGCAACGAAGGTTTATGTGGTGCAACGAAACAACTAATTGGCAAATTAGAACCGGCTAGTCTATTTCATTCCAACATCATTGGATTAACAGCTATAACACAATTGCTCTGTCGCGCTCACGGGGCTTGCAACTGCTTAGAAAGTCTTCTTTCACATTTATGTCTTTGCAGTGCTCTTTTACCAGTTGACTTGCGAATGAACAGTTATACACGCAGCTTGAGTAGTGTGGGACTTTTACATTCAGAAGCCTTATTTGAAAATGATGAAGGAAGTCAGGTGTTATTCACTGTTGATCAGCTACTGGGACGCATTAAGTCAGATAATAGTGAGCGTATCATCTCTGTATTACAACTGTGGATAAAAGCAAATCTTCTGCGTCTAACGTACAGTAAGTTTATTACAGCGCTTTTTAAGTAAGGCAGTTCCAAGCTTTGTTTTCGGCCTATAATGAAGTGGGTAGATTAATGTAGGTGCATGTACAAACTTGTGATCTTTATGTACCTGCTCTTTTTAACACACTGTGAGATACCCAACGAGTAAGGTACTAAAAATAATGTCACCAATATCGGAGCACCAAAAGCAACGACCAAAGTAGGTGAACGAAAGCATAGAGTAATAAAATGTAAAGACAGTATTTCTGAGGAATGTAGTAATTGGATATGAGTGAAATATACTCAGGTCGCTTCAGTCAAATTTACAATACTAATTGATTTACCACCGTAACCTTAGTGCTCTTGATCTAAAGTCAACATTTGAAATCCTCTTGTATTTCCTTTGTTAAACATCACTGTTGTTTTAATGCTGACTGAATATCGTACTGAACTGTAAAGGGTTGAAAACTTAATCCATGCCTCATGATATACCTCTTTAATTTATCCTTGTGTATGTCTTATTATAACGGGTAAACAAAAATATTTCCTTTTGGCACGTTATACTACTATAACACAATAATAATATAACCAGGATTGGGATTTAAACTACCACTGGGGCAGATTTCTCGACCTATAAGCTATACAGACTGGGACTACGTTTTACCAAATATACGATTCACGACAAAAAATAGAATACCAGAGTGTAAGCCAATAGTTTATTTAACACAATTACATGCAGTCTATACTTAGTGATTCCAGAGTGAAAATTAATGATGGGAAAGATACGGCTTATTTTTAATAGTAAGAAAGCTGTGTGTCAGTTCACGCTCAGTGGCTAATCACATCTTACCTCCATTTACCACATATCAATCTTTGATATAGGCTGAGAGACTTTCCAGTCTCAATAGTTCGATGTCTAGTGAGGCAAGACCACGATCAAAGTTCAAGCACGCAGCCTGGAAGAAGTGCCAATAGTTTATTGATCCTTTACATTAGTAACAACATTCATATAATCTCTCTGCCCACTGTTGAGTCGACATACGTTTCTCCTTGTCTTTCAAGTTCGTGTCTATGTACGTAACTAAGTCACCTGTTAAAATCACTGGGTAACCTTCAATTCGCCTGAACTCCAAATAGTGAGGAGTAAGTACAGTGCTGTCAGATTTAGCTGTAACTAGAGAACTACCAGGTGAATTTCAATCCAGAAGTGGATGTTTTGCTTGTGAACTTAATGCATGACGTACATATACAAGGCCACAAGCTATTCCCACCAAACGGCCAGATGCTCAAATAACTAACCACATCTAGGCCTTCTATGCGAATTTCACAAAACAAAGTCACAATTAGGGAACTAGAGTTTTGGTTAGTAGGTTCCACTATTTTATTTGATATAACATTCAAAAATAGAAGAGCAGTTTTACGAGATTATAATATTAATTTGCAGATCATATTGTTAGTACTGGTTGGATATACTGGAGATTATGCTAGGAAACAAAGTAATGTAGTAAATCGGGCTACCACAAAATGTAGGATATTATGGAGTAATAAAGTTGGATTAGTAAAAATATTTGTAGCACACGGAGGTAAATTAAAATTTGTAAATTCCTATTCAAAATATGTTATCCATTACTGTAACTTTGAGACATTGCAGTGAAAATTAATTTGATATTCTTTATTCATAAAAGCAACTGGAGACAGTTCTATGCAGAATGAACAATTAACATGCAATACAAATGTTTTGGGAGAAAGGCTTCTTAGACCTTTGCTGTCATGTGTTTTCTATTCAAACAACATTGGATCCATAATGAATAAACTTGAAATATTGATTTGTCAATTGCTCATCTTAGGCCAGTTACATGGATGTCTTTTAATTGATAGTATAACTCAGTCAAATCCAGTAGACTCGAAAAACCAATACTTAAATAACATGTAAGTGTACTGAGTGCTAACCTTTTCTAAAGGTAATTTAGTGAGTGTAATTGATGTTTTAAACTAAACATTGTATGGCGTTAAGATGGAAAGCAAAGTCTAAGTACAAACGTTTTATGAAACTGTGTATGGCAAAATAGACAAAACTATCCAATCACTGACTACCAAATTACAGGAGATTCATCAAAACATTTTAGGAATAATCCACATAAAGAAACAACAGGATGAAAAGCTCATCCTGGATCCACAAGCCATCTATTCTAGACAATTAGTGAGGTGACCAACTTTATGCTCGACTAAGTGAATTGAGCAACCTGATTCGGATTTAATACTAGTGGGAGGGGAAATCCTGTTGTTTCTCTGGGGTGCAAATGTAGATCATATTTGTGTTGCAGGTAACAAAATTGTTACTGTAAACTCACTTATTCCACACCACTTATTAAGTTTTTTCCATTCAGGTTTACTTTCTCCTTTTCTTAATATTCACCCAGTTTTTTTCAGTTAATTTATCGATAAGTTCGAGCAGTTCATCTGCTGGTCAGCTAGCTAATCTTTTACAATTGATTTGAAAAAGTGCTGTGGTCAAAACTTATATGGATTTTCTAACACATTGAGTTTAAAACCTATACTAGCTATTAAAGAAAGTATTGTTAGTAGATTCATGATACTTAAGTGTATACAATCTTACGCAGTAACTAATACTATTGGTTTGTTTTACTTTGAATTTCATAGCGTAGAAGATATACGATACCATCTGAATGCACCACTAAACTTAAGACTTCTAGGGATACGTGCAATCCGTCGAATTTTACAGTACCGTTTTATATTCATTTGCCAGATGAATGATAAGTATAATTCGCTGATAAATGAAAATGCACTTTCGTTTGTAACATGGGTTGATCAATTACCTTTACCAAATATCATCAAACAATATATTCTTTTAAATCCAATGACCTTAAGAACTAGTTGAACAAACAACTTTGCCTTTATTTTTTTTCTTTGGTTCGTGCATTTATTTTTGATTTTTTAAAACTTATTATTAAGTAAAGAAGATTTTTATGTTTTCGATAAAAATGCAATAGACATATGTACAGAATAAAATTGAAATAACTTTGTGTCCTGGTGTTCTTATAACTTCTGGTTAGTCTCCACATGATAGAAATTGATAGTACCGGATTGTGAATCTGGAAATAAAGTTAATTGTAGATCATAAGTGTTAGAATGTAGTCTGCTTACTTGTATATTCATGAATGCTTTAAATACTGTGTAATAGTATGAAAAGTACACTTAACCTTCGTACACAAACAATCCTTGCGAAACATTGATTTAAGCGGTTGAAATGTATTAAGCGTGGTTGTGTACAAGATTGCCACTCCTTTTGGAGTACCTAAATGGACTCTGATTATGTCCTTGTTTGCACTAATCTTACCTTACGTTTCAGTGGCCAACAAATTCATCGTCCTAAACGGATCGATGTCAGCAGCTCCTGTTGCAACTAAATATCAAACGGAACTGAGTTCAAGGCTAGCTACCAACCAACCGAAAAGTATAGATGTATGTTGGCTGAAATCGCATGACGCCATGGGGAAGGTGAGTAAATTCACTTGCGGCTTTGCAAAACGTCCCACCTACAAGCACTGGGTTTCTACACTCTACTTACAACTCATTGAAGCACGTCGGTCTACTCCGGGTGACCGTGAGTTTGACCATTAGTGAAGACTGTTACGTAATGAAGTTGTGCGAAGCTTGTGTAAGGTTATAGAAGTCTGGTGGTTAGAGTGTACCAATGAGTTGGAAGCAGTAGTTGCTTCCGGTGACTGCCGGAAGCTCTTTGAACTCATCCTAGTCACTGGCAGCAAGAGGTCTGGTGTGAGTGAAACAATCTGTAAGGCTGACGAGATGCCAATCATTAACATCTACCGACGCCTTGAACGATGGGCAGTGTTTCGAGGAGCAGTCCAATTGGTCTTCTGCCCCGACGACATCGATCACACTGTCTTACCCTTCATGGTATGTGACGACTAATCAATTTAACAAGGCAGAAGTCTGCAAGGAACTCCAACCTTGGAGCTTTACAAATGACCAGGAAGAGACGACGTACCTTCAGCCCATCTTAAAGATGTTGGCGACTTTGTAGTTAAGGAACTAACTGAGTTGCCCACAAAGACCTGGTAATTAGTGTTCCAACACTATAAGTTGTTCCTATTTTTAAAAAGGGTTCAATTTGTTTTTGCAACAACTATTGGGGGATGCGTCTATTTTAATCAGCTTTGAGCCGAGCTTTAGCTGTATGAGAGCTAATTGTATTACACAGAAAACCAAAGTAGGTGAAGTGGAGATTGTGCTGGCGACCGAATGGATAGAAGTTGCTTACTTTTACCATTATGGATGAATAAACTAAGATAACAATCTACTAGGTAGTGTGGAACTTTATCATCAGTAAGGCTTGTTTCCACACAAAAAACTAAATTTCCGGGAGTTCTGTGTGTGTGACAGGAGTTTACGAGAGCTTACAATTAATTCTTCGAATGTCAAACTATGATAGTAATCGTACGACTATTAAACAGCTTCAAAACTTACCATATGACGCCGAAAGGTTGTATGCCTCACCCTGGTAAACGAATTCGATGACAAAAGTTGGTTCATCTGCATAGCCACGAATAAATATTCCATTGTACAAGCACCACATTATTAAGTCATGAGTTGAAGCACCAGATCCCATTCCTTTTACATTAAAACAAAGCATCCAATGAGATGTGTTTCATAAGAATCGAAGTGTAAATTTGTAAAAATTCTTTCTATGTAATTAAATTTCGTTTTGATTGGAAATAGTTTAGGTTCAAACATTTCTTATCAAAGTATAAAATGTTTTAGCTATTCATCCTACTTTCACAAAATTCAAGCGATAAACATCTATAGCCAACTTCCTAAAGATTAAGTAAGAAGTGAATGCAACAACCTTTTGTTTCATAGAACGTCTCAAATAAACTATTCACACTACTTAGGTTTAACAAGTTTAGTGTACTCGGGCTAAGAAATTATATTTGGATTCTGGTATATTTCCGTTAGTGACCAATTAAAGAATGAACAAGAAAGTCAAGGTCATAACACTCTTCAAAAGGTGATAAACATGAGGCACCTCAACGTTAAGTTTTTTTGAAAGAATCACATTCTCATCGTACTTCCAACAGATTAATCCGTTAGGAACTGCAACTGAGAAAACTAGTTTTGGGGGCACTTGCAGCACAGAATAAGAATGTGATAAGTAGAGGTTTTACATTAGAACAATCCTAATGAGAACTCATTTTCACAGTGTAAGAAATTCAGGAATAAACTGATTATCGTAAACACTTACAAAATCAAAATCTCTCAAATTCTCACAAGCGTTCCGCTTACCTTCTACACAGATAGTTGTTTGTTGGGATTCAGGCTGGTTGGCAAACGCTGCTAAGTGAGCTACTAATGATTCTGATTCATCGTTGTCAAGATCTTCGTCATCATCTTCATTATCTATAGTATGCGTAGGGCTTAGTCGTCGACCTCCTGTTTGACATCCATTAGTGCTAGTTTGGAAAAACCTATCATTATTAACGATTGTCTTGTTGAATTCTGACCTCAGGTTTCTGTTATTTGGACTCTTTTCCAAGCGTTGAAGTGGTGAAGCATCTAACTCCGATTCAATATTTACGTTAGAGCTAACACAAGTGGAAAAGTGCAAACCATAATTAAGTTCAATAGATTAATGTAAATCTTCAATAAATTTGAAGCCTCTTGATGCTTTAAAACTGTGTCACTTACTTATCTGCATTTAATGCTTCATTGATTACATTTTCTGGCAAAGCGACCAAGGCGTCCATTACTTGTGCCATCAAAGTTGGATTATTCACCTGTTCACCTGTGTCATTTAAAATGACTAGACCACTAGAACCGTCTTCATTAGGCTGATGATGAACATAAAGCGTTTCACCATCCGGAGTTTCGACTATCATCTGATAATGAAAATTATATTTTTTTATTTGAAAATTGTAAGGAAAAGTTGGATGTCATGATTCTCAAATAATAAACTACACACTACAGGAAAGAGTAGGACACGTCCTTAATTTTACTTCGTTCAATGAAATATGAGTCAAGTATATTTTGAACACCGTACACTTTCAAAATAGTGAACGCAAATACTGGCTACTAGCACTATTACATATACCGATTATAATTGATATATGACTACACAAAGCAATATAAAATCCATGCAAAGAGCTCAAGCACCAACAGACGCTCACCAATTAACTTTCTATAACTAATAATGAGGGAATGAAAACCTTAACGTCAACTTTTTCTCTGGGTAGTGATAGTGAGATTTGTGTGGCGCATATGTATTTGGTGCCTCCCTGTACCTATACTTATGTGTTAAAATAAATAAAAATAAGATAGTGACTTTTAAATATTGAGTATGAGGACTAACTGGAGTAAAACATCTGTCAAGAAAATCAGTAGAAAGAGCATTCTATTGACGAATTGCATAAGCAATGTCTGACATCAAAAACACACTAAAATTTGTATAGGGGTCGGAAACTTGCTCAGTTTACTAGATAAATGAACGTTTGGAAACAAATTACAAGCTGTCACTCTTATTTTCCATTTTCAGGGTTGAAAACCGTTACTGTACACAAATCAGATCTTGATGACACATTTTTGAACCAGGGTATAAACCACCACTATTGTGAGAGCTATGGTTGACGCAGCTATTGAAGTCTGGGTGACACTGATTTGAATTACAGTGCTAAGCTAATAAGCTATCGTTCTGCATGCATTAAAACACAAACCTTACACATACCAAACATTTTTTATTTGAACACCAAAACTGGCTGTCAAGAAGTGAGGTTTCGTTAAACGAAATCACAAGGTTTTGTACTAAGAAACTAACCAAGAAGTGATGTTGGTGACGAACTGAATTTAGCCCGAGATTTACTGCCACCTATAATGATGAAGAATATGGTGAACGTATTCCAGCGTGGAGTAAGGGTTGATACAGCTGTCTGGACCACTACAGCTCATACAACCTGCTGCGAGGCCAGTTATAATTAACAATTACTGCAGAGATTGATTTTTGTCCTGCTTTGGAGGCCGCTAACTTTCTTTCGAACTAATCCTATATCAACGAACTTGTTTGTCGCGGCAGACGGTGGTTGAACATACATACCAAAAGCCACAACCACCCAAGTCGATACAGATTTACTATCTTTACCTAGTGTCCTGCATTTAAACTACCAGGACTGATAAGACTTTCAAGATAAATAAAGTGTTCAACACTCTCAGCCTAGGTGTCGAAGCAACACTTGGGACTTACAGGGAGAAATGCATCTAAAACGCGCTTATATTGTTATCCAAGACGACCAAGAAACTGCAAGTTGTTAGCATCTGCACTAAAAATAAATACATCATCTGTGTAGTTGAAGTCCACTAGTGAATCATTTGGTAGGAGATCAATCCCAGAAAAGTCAGACGAATAAAGCATTATCTCTCAGAGAACTCCTATGACGAAGTTAAATAAAAATGGGGTTGTGCAAACCTGATGAACACCATTTGAAGTTATCAATTCTGATATAATCTCTGATCTCACTAATAGTGTTCTGTTAGAAATTCTTTAAGTAGATGATAAACTTCTTTAGCAAGCCTTTCTATGACAGAAATCACTTAAAAACATGTAAGTCTACGAAGTGGGTCACCACCTTCAAGTCAGGAAATACTATTATGGCAGGGTGTCGGTAAGTAGGCCTGTTCTAGAAACTAAAGAAGTATGTGATCTACACATGCACGCCTAGACGTGCAACTAGCCCAGTCTTCCCGAAGTTGTCATACACGAGCCCTAGTCAAGCACTAAACGATTATTGAGAATAAAACTCAACACAATATATTGGTCAAACAAATACCCCAATGGTTACCACAAGAAAATCTCAGTCCTTTTTTATACACTGGAAAGGCCAGCCATCAAGACTACTTAGATGGGATTATGTCCACTCTTCAGACTTTGGCCAAAACTTGGCCACCATCCTAAGGGATATCCACACTTCGTCCACCAGGTTCCCCCAACCCCTCTCAATTCAGATTAGAGGGTCTTTCCGATTTCGATAGGTTTTGGTGGATCATGTCTATCACATATAAATACAGGGTAAATAGGAAGCAAACTGTTATTCGCAGTATCCTGGTCATTTTATCGACCCGTCTCTTTCGGGGATAATTCCATTAATACTTGACTTTTTAAAATGTTTCTCAGACTAGCTTGAAAAATTATCTTGTGTTTCTTATCACCACAACTGTTCTATCTCTTGCTTTCATCACCTGTCACAACTCATGATTATTGCGAACACTATATGTTCGTCAACGTCTAAGTTGTCTTTGGTCACCGTGTTTTGAACCTGATGTGATGAGTATTATTTATTTATTTATTATTTATTTGAACACATAAATATTGGTACAGGGAGGCACCAAATATATATGCGCCACACAAAACAATGATAATTTGAAGAGAAGGAGAAAAGAGAAAAAAAGTAATGAACGTGGGGAATTATAAAGAAAGAGAGAGAGGGAGAACAATAATGAGGGAAACGGAAAGGTACAATCAGAAAAGATCTTTCAGTTAAGGAGGATACAACAACTTTTTATGAAGAAAGTAAAAGAAGGTTACAGCAGGATCGCCACTGGCTTCTATTCTGAGCCATATCTGATAATGTCTCTAGCCACTGCGTTACACCGTCTCTCAGACCCCAGTCAGGGAGTCGTGAAGGACCAACACAAGCCAGCCCTTTGCAGCTTTCTTTCATACCACGACACCATGTCATACACTGACCACCTCTCCGCTTTTTCCAACCAGTCCAAGAGTCGGCAAATAATGCAAGACGTGGAATTCTCTGGGAGGACATTCGTAGAACATGCCCAAGCCACTGAAGTCGGTGTTTCAAGATGGTGACACCAATGGAATTATCGTCTCTGTGCCCGAACACACGATGCCGAACCTCTGCATTACTAACATGGTGTTGCCACTGGATGCCAGCAATCCTTCGGAGACAACGATGATCGAACACAGAGAGTCGTCTAACATCCGCAACTCGGAGAGGCCAGGTTTCACAAGCATAGAGCAAAACTGCTCTCACCAACGCGTTGTAGATCCAACCTTTTACAGCCAGACTAACATCACGAAGGCGCCAAAGATGGCCCAGATTGGCATAAGCCGCTCTGGCTTTCACTATACGTGCATTGATCTCATCACTCACGCCACCAACAGCACTTATGCAGCTACCTAGATACACGAACTTCTCGACTACTTCTATTTGCTCACCATCCAGAGTGAGTGCAGGATTAGAATCCTGCCAGTCTTGTAGAAGTACTTTGCACTTCGAGGGTGCAAAGCACATACCATACCTACGGACTCTGATTGTCAACTGATTAAGTGCGGATTGCATGGCTTGGGCATTATCGCACAGTAAGACAATATCATCCACATACTCAAGGTCGAGAAGTCTTTCTCCAGGCAACAGATCCATACCACCATTACTTACATCCGTCAGAGCTGTTTCCAGAATGTCATCGATGGCAAAGTTGAAGAGGAATGGTGAGATTGGGCAACCCTGTCTAACCCCACTGCTCGAATGGAATAGTGGATAAAGGTGATTGTATGCCCTCACTCTGCCTGAGGTGTTTGTATATAGGGCTTTTAGGATGTTAATAAACTTCTCAGACACACCCTTCTTCAATAGACAATCCCAGAGAACAGTTCTGTCCAACGAATCGAAGGCAGCCCTGATATAAAGAAACACTACGATTGTTGGCCTTTGATAAGTATGGCGGTGTTCTAACATTTGGCGGAGGGTGAAGATATGATCAATACATCCTCGACCAGAACGAAACCCAGCCTGCTCCTCGCGAGTCAATCTTTCTCGGGTTTTGAACAACCTACGAAGTATAACGGAAGCCAATAGCTTGGACGCAATCGGAAGTAGACTTAACCCCCGATAGTTGTTACAGGAACAACGTGAACCCTTTTTAAAGATTGGGACAACTATCGACTCATTCCATGACGTTGGTACACTCTCTAGTTCCCAGACCTTTGTAAACAACGTCGTCAGTTCCTTAGTCAGAAAGTCACCACCATCTTTAAAAATAGCCGGAGGTAAGTCATCTGGGTCCGGTGATTTGTAACGTTTAAAGAGTTGGAGTTCCTTGCGGACTTCCGCCTCATTTGGTGGATCAGTCGTCATTGGCCATGGAGGGCAGGACAGTCTGGCCGATGTTGCCGGAGCAGCAGGCCAGTTGAACTGCCCATCGAAGAATCCGACCCATCGTCCAAGACGTCGATGGATGTTAGTGATTGGCGTTCCGTCATCCTTGCAGATTGTTTCGCTCACACCAGACTTCTTGCTGCCAGTGGCTCGGATGAGTTGGAAGGGCTTCCGATAGTTACCAGATGCAGCTGCTGCTTCCAGCTCATTGACACGCTCCGACCACCAGGCTTCTCGGTCCTTACGCAAGCTTTGCCCGATTTCATTACGTAACATCCTTCGTCTGTGGTCAAACTCACGGTCACCCGGAGTAGACCGACGGGCTTCAATCAGTTGTAAGGAACCAGAAGAAACCCAGTGCTTGTAGGCGGGACGTTTCGCGAACCCGCAACAGACTGTACCCGCCATTTTCATGGCGTCATGCAATTGCAACCAATGCTCATCTATACTTTTCGGTGGAATGGTAGCTAGCCTAGAAGCTAGCTCGGTCCGGTACTTACTAGCAACAGAAGTTGCAACCAGCTTGCTGACGTCAATCCTTTGGTGGCGGTCACTTCGTTGGCTACTGAAAAGTAAGGTAAGATTAGCGCAGACCAGAGCATGATCCGATTCCAGATAGGTACTCCAAAAGGAGTGGCAGTCTTGTACACAACCACGCCAGCGGTAGCTGATCGCGATGTGATCAATCTGGGTCCAGGCTTGAGATGCAGAAGGAG